TCATCCTCATTATCCTTATCCTCATCGTCATCCTCATTATCCTCATCCTCATCCTCATTCTCATCCTCATCCTCATCCTCCTCCTCCTCCTCCTCATCATCATCATCATCAAGCCGCTATAGATGCTCCGCGCACAGCTCCCATTCATTTGTGCTTCATCCTTGAGTATATTTTCCTAGAATACTTGTAGCGTTTCGATGAAGTTTCGCTGTACTTGTATATAAAGCTGTTTGAGTTTAGCTGATAATACGCTAGTAACGAATTCTTCCAGCTCATTTGGGGCGAGAAGATTGAGATGATAAATCATAGCGTTAGCGACTGTGGCTTGGTACTGATATTTTTTCTTCGATACCTTGCCAGCCAACAGTTTTCAATGAGCCACTACTTGGATTTGAGCCTGCGTGATGGGCGACCAGCTCCATATCCTATTCTAATGAGGCAGCCCGTTTGGGAGCCCTTACACCAGGTGAGCCAATACTTACAAGGAGCAAGATTCTTAGAGACACGTATAAGTCATACCTAAGTTGGCTTTCCGAACGTATCATCACATTGCTGTTTCTGGTCGCTTTGATGCTATCTATGTGGGTGAAGTTATTGAGGACTGGAGCGAGAGCGAGTCGAGGTAATAAAATTCATTAATTTTTGCTACTCACACCTATCTTGCAGGGACCCCATCATCGTTTCGAGCAGTCTGCTGCGACAAAACTATGGTGAAAGTCCGTTGTCCGTTCACCGTATACTGGACCTACTCCAGGTCTCAATCGTTAAAGCACACTTATTTCTCGACCATCCATGCTACTTTAGGAATGGACGGGTGTTTCCCAAATTTTTACTCGCAATCTCTATCAGAACCGCCGTAACGACGTGATTCTGATTACGAGCGTTGGTACTGCCGCCGCACGGCAGCGTTTAGCTCGTCTTTTGCTCCTTCCTATTGAGCAACTGCGGCGCGCCATTCGTGATGAGATCATGCCGATGTCCATCCGTGACGAAATCTTGTGAGATCTATTCAAACAAATCGTTCATATTGATTGCTGTCCTTATACATTAACGTGAATTCTCAAAAAATGTACAATGACTAAGATTTTATAAAAATTGAACCTTTTTGCTTTTGGTTCTTTGTTTAATCTTCTTTCAAACTGTTTTGTGCTATTCATTCTTCATTCTTTTTAATATGCTATTCATTCTTCATTCTTTTTAATAATCCACATGAAAAATTGGGAATCTAGAACTGAATCTGTTCATGAGTAACTTGGAATTGGAATGCCAGAGACCTTGGGGTTCAAAATCTATTTTCCTAGCAAGAGAATGCTTTATACTCGAAATGGCCATTGAAAACAAGATGTATACCAGAATAACAACTTTGGTATGGGTATCCCAAACCTTTCTTCCATATCTGCGAAAAGGTTTTCCGTAAGAAGATATGGGTACTTGTTTCCATGAAGCACCTACAAAAAGTTGTGAATTGGGCTCAGTGACAGGTGGCGCAGTGATAAGCATCTTGGTTTGTAGGTTTGCGGTGTACTTTCGAATTCTATCCTCGGCACACCTTTCGCGTGTTTTGCACTTACATGTATTTGCTGGAGAAAGCTTCTAAATACAATTATT